ACTTTGTTTTTTGTTACTCTTTTAACCATTACATATGAAAGATTTGTGGTTAGTCTTATGCGGAACGCCAAATTTATTCTTTAAAAACTTGTGGTTAATTAATACCGAGCGATTAAAAGTGGCCAAAAAGTCGCCTGCTTCCCTCTCGCCCGCCAACGAAACCACAGACAGGTTACGTAACTCTGTCGCCAGAGCACTGCAGTGACGTCATATGAGGAACGATTTTCAGTTAGTTGTATAGAAAGTGTGTAGCACGCTCATCATTTTGATGATTTCTCGACATCAACGACGACATGCCGAATCGTTGCTTTGTCGTCAATTGCTCCTAGGGGTCGGGCGATGGTGTCACCATGCACAGATTTCCACAGGACCCCGCAGTTCGTGCTAAATGGGTTAGGTTTGTGAGTGCGAAGCGAGCGTTGTGGAAGCCTGAAACGATATCTTACTTGTGTTCAGATCGCTTCACGGAAGTTAAAGAATCAAAACTACTTACTAGCTGTAGTAAAATATGTATATGATTGATGACCATAAAGATTTTCCATGACACAACTTGTAACATAACGATTTCTTCCTCGGAAGTGAGGTTGTGGTCGAAGTAACAATAATATTGTAAGTAGTATTATATTGACACCCACCTCGCTGCCAGGAGAAATTGTTATGTTATACGTTATGTCATGCAAAAATCCTGTTGGCCGTCAATAAAATACATATTTTACTACCAGTAGAAAGTAGTTTTGATTTTGTAACTCGGTGAAAACAAACCTAAATAGCATTTATCCTCAGACAGGCGGATGTTCCCGACAGGGCGCCGCCATTTTTGAAAATCGTAAAGTCTGTTAGAATTAATGAGATTATAGTTTGTTTCCATCAAGTTAGAAAATCAAAACTACTTTCCACTCGTAGTTAAATATGTATTGGAATCATAACCAAACAGATTTTGCATGACACAACTTATAACATAATGATTTCTTCCACGGAAGCGAGGTGGGGGTCGAAGTCACAATACTGCCGGATACATTTCTTGCTACATTCACATGGTTAATGTCCACTCACCAGTATGTAGATACTAGTCAATGTGCGTTTTTATATTTGGTCTTATAATCCTAATTAGTTTATTATCATACTTGTATGCATTTTGAAACTAAATAAATAGCAGACGATCTGCTGATACTTATAGTTATTTTATAACAGAACTGTAATATCTAGACATTTTATAGTTTGCCAATGTGAATCAAAATTGGCACACACACCCTAGTGTATGTTGTCTGTCTCATTACACTTCACAGCGAAAACAATGATTTCTGTTGAATGCTACGACAAATGAATAAAAAACAAAATGCAAATATTAAAATTAAAACAGATTAAAGTTATAGGAACAATATCAGGCCATTACCTTGTTTGAGGATTGTATCCATCAATATCCACAAAACTGTTCCAAATGATGTGTCTTTTAACAGTTTAATATACGAAAAAGTGATAAATCTTTTCAGGTATTGGTGTATAGTCTCATTGGTCACCCAAGACAGCACACCTGTCTACTAATTGCATAATGTCCGCCTTTCTTTAAAAACAGTAATTTAGTTAGCCAATAATGGGCAATCAATCAATGTATTGTCGATTAATCCTTTGAAAGAAGGACGTTGTTTTTACGCAGACACCGACACGGCAGAGTGTATTCAGTATAGATTAGTAAATCTACATACATAAACACTACCTTTTGACAATTCCGCTGTGTAAGATAAAAGTAATTAATCAATCAGCGTGTTATCGGTTAATCCTTTGATCGATGTTTATAATGTTGAATATTTACTCCAGACACAAGAAATGCCAAATGGGAACCTTTGTCGGGTAATCTAAGTGTGTTACCACTAATTATACCTGTTATAAATTCATTAACTGACCATCAAGTGAATGATGACAAAAACCATGTGTAGGTTTATACCACCTAACACGGGTTACAACAAGGGAGTATTAATTGCTGTATTGCATGTGAAAACTTATGAGCCGACACTGTTTTGAGAATACAAACAGATTTTTACATGACATGATTAAATATCGAGGTGAAAAAACACAGAAATGGGATCAATTTGGATCAGTCATTATACAAATAGGGCCTAACGACACCAATCGATTTTGACAGAAGCGTCTATGAAAACAAGTTGTAACTCGGAAACTAGGCAAAGCAGGAGACAAAATTTAATGACAGTAGATTGTGAGAACATATAGCTTTCATTTTCCACAACAATTGTCACGATTTCAGGTTTATACAAGCCTGTAAACAAGATAGTTTACCCCCTAAAATGTAGACGAATTCTGCATCGGCCCTGAAAGCTATTCCTCATATGACGTCACAGAGACACGCCTCTCTGATTGGTTGAAATTTCGTTCGCGGGTGAGAATTGTGCACTGTTGTCAAAAAGGTCGATTTAAGTCAATTAAAGGTCGAAATGAGTAGTTTTAATGACGGGGTTTCATTTATAACGATGCCAGTTAGTGATTTATGTATTTGTACCCCGTAGGGTATATGTGATCTTTAACAAGAGTTCATCTTGTCAACTCCATGACACCGAGTGTTTATTGTTTGAGGCCAGTTAAGTAAACATCGCCGGGAGGTGTTGTTACTGTTCGTGAACAAGACTTACAGCGTCCGGACTGTGAAGCAATTTACTGTTTATTTTACTGATTCGTGACAGCTACTTACCGTCCGGTTCCGGAAACCGAATTTCCGGATTATCGAGGCAAATTATATAGGCATAGATTGGTAACAAGCTGAAATCGCCCGGGAGGCGAGACATCCGGATTATCGGAGTCCGGACTAACGGGGCTTCACTGTATCTTCATTCATTATGTGAAACAGCTTACCTTAATATTTGGCATGTGTATTACTTATTTGGTACAAATAAACAGGCACAATGGACATAATGCTGCCAAATGCCGATAACACACTGTACGCTGATCAACAGTGTATCCAGTTGCAGAAAACGTATCGACCCGTGTAATTCCACTGACGTCACGAGTCACGTCTATATTTAGATATCGCCAGTCTCTAGCTATTAATAGCCTCTCGAAACAAGCTGGAAAACCCACTTCTCAAATATCGACAACTCACACTATCAAATTTTTAGGTAACAAATAAAAGTATGTGTTTTTGCCTTTATGAGTTATCTAAAATATATAACTACATTAAAAGCAAGGAGTGTAACAATGCGAACTCATTTCTATGTTTACGTAATAACAATCACACACCACAGGTTCATGTTATATCGGACAGCAAGGCTTATATGTAAATACATGCGTTAATATATGATCCCACATGTGCTAACAGTAGATAGAGATGAAAAAACAACAGAGCTGCGAGATGAATGCATATTCGTGCAGGATAATAACTGTACACATAAAGAATATGAAAGCTTAAACGCATTGAACGACTGTCCACTGCCATCAGTTTTGTACACATATACATGTACAAAGGGAGGGGGCCATTGATTTTGTACATGACATGCATGGGGGAAGGGTCACTTACTTTGTACATAAATTTTAGGGGTGTGTGAGAAATTCACATTGTACATGCTTTTCCCTAAAAATCATAACCCCCAGCCATAAATTATGACAGGTCCCTTATACAGAAAAGGCGAGAGAGCGCGACAAACGAATGAGCGTGTATCTGGCAGTATAGCTAATTTGAACGGATACAGCTAAACTATACTCACATGTATGTGCAGCCATTGGTTGTAGCCAGTGTTTGAGGTGAAGTGTTGAGCCCTGCAATGTGACGTGCGGGACTGTTTATAGATCTGACATGTCAGCATGAGTGATAAGTGATGTAAATATACACACAACTCATGCGTGCAAGGAGAACATGACCAGGCGTAACTGTGATGTAATTTAATGTCTTAGAATATAATGTACAAGGTGGGACTGACTTGGTATACACTAGTAACAGAGAAACGCGCCTCTGTGTGTGTGTGTGTGTGTGTACGTGCGTGCGTGTGTGTACGTGTGCGCGCGCGTGTGTGTAAGTGCGTGTGTGTGCGTGTGTGTGTGTGTGTGTGTGTGTGTGTGTGTGTGTGTGTGTGAGTGAGTGAGTGAGAGAGAGATATATATGGGAGAAATAGGGCCTATAAGGCGTTTGGAAGAAGTGTGGGGGGAGGGGGTAATGGGGAGATGTGACGAGAGCTAGCGCGTGTGTGTGTGTGGTGGGGAGTATATGTCTTAGAATATAATGTACAAGGTGGGACTGACTTGGTATACACTAGTAACAGAGAAACGCGCCTCTGTGTGTGTGTGTGTGTGTGTGTGTACGTGCGTGCGTGTGTGTACGTGTGCGCGCGCGTGTGTGTAAGTGCGTGTGTGTGTGTGTGTGTGTGTGTGTGAGATATATGGGAGAAATAGGGCCTATAAGTGTTTGGAAGAAGTGTGGGGAGGGGGGGGTAATGGGGAGATGTGACGAGAGCTAGCGGGTGTGTGTGTGTGGTGGGGAGTATATGTATAGGGGATCACATTTTTTTAATGTACACCCAAAATTTGTTGTTAACCAAAATGAAATTAATTTGTTTATCTACCGGGCATCACATACTGAAAGACAATACTAGATGTTCATCTGGCAGCCGCCGAAAATAGTGCCACTAATGATCAAACTATGATCGATCACTGATTCATAGTTATTCATATGATCCACACATGCTCATGTTGAAGTCGGTGTTGTACATTAGTCTCCAGATTAAGTAGACATAATATGTTAATATCTGGTTTTATTCACACTGGTTGGTTAAGGGCTGGGAATTATATTGCTTTCACAAAATCAATATGTTGAGAGATGTTTTTTTTGTGTGAATGATGCAACATGCCGCCGTCATTACTGTTCGATTCCCCACATGGGGTACAATGTGTGAAGCCAACTTCTGGTGTCCCCTGCCATGATATTGCTGGAATATTGCTAAAAGCGGTGTAACACCATACTCACTCACTGCGGGAAACGCAAAAAATACATCACACATATATGTAGTATGGAACTTTAATCAGATCGTTGCCTTTAACATATTAAACCATAATAGTTCTAAGAATTGACCATGTGATGCGAAATCTTCCGTTCGTTTGAGTTAAAAAATGTAAATTCACTGCTTCATGCATTGCTTGTTTAAATAAAACATATATATCACATTGTTTTAAACACCTGAAAAACATTATAAGAGTTCACGTATTAGAGTTCACGTGTTCACGTGTCTTGTCCTCACACTGCCCCTGATTGGAGCGTGACATACGTCACAGGTACTGGAGATGACGCTACACTCGGCACAACACACCATGTGACCGCAAGGCAGGAACACCATGTTGACCTCGCGCACCCGACACCGTCTGCACCTCCCAAACATCCGGTTACTTGACCCTTGTGAACCCTTGCTGGGGCCTTGACCTGCCGCATGTTGTACCGAAGCATCCCCACCTGTACCAGGTAAAATAATTAAATTTGAAAGTGATTTATGCAGGAAATTGTGAATACTATACATTTTATCTATACAATCATCCATACACATACATACATACATACATACACACACACACACACACACACACACACACACACACACACACACACACACACACACACACACACACACAGACACAGACACAGACAGACAGACAGACAGACAGACAGACAGACAGACGTACGCACGCTTGTAAAAGATGTAATAATGGAGAAGAAATGTGCAAGTTAAATGATGTCGAAGATGAATTTCATTTTTTATGCGTTTGCCCAGCCTACTTATCGTTAAGAAATAGATATATGAAGGCCTGTGGCATTTCAGTATGAAATAAAGATTGAACTCGGATAAGGAATGGATTACAATCAAATTTATTTCATGCGATATCGATACTATATATGATGAGCCCGATGTTCATGCTGTCAATCACAGGACCATGGCCAAATGCAATAGATCGATGAATCGGCTAATCTGAGGTGCATCTCACCTGTGTATAGCCCCAGCAGAACCACCAGCATTCTGTAGATCATGTCTACTCTTGGAGGTTGACGTGCATGTGATCTACACCAGGTTGTTCCTGGTCTTTACATAAACATGTGTCATGTCTATTAATAACTTCCGCGCTATAAATAGGGTGGTCGTCATATCGCAATTCACACGACTGGCAAAAGGCTTTGCCTCTGTTTATACGATTAAGAACATCCATTGTTTTATCGATTATCTAATCTACAATTGCAAAACATGAGTGAGCGAGTTTACTTTCACGCCACACTCAGCAATAATCCAGCAAACGTACTCTCTCGCCTTATGCAAATCACGAAAAAAAATTCTCAAATACATTCATATTTAGGTGAAATGCATCTTTTTCAGAAGAGTTAAATTGTCCTATTTTCGTCCATGCCGAAATAAATCAATAACAGTGATTAAGATGTCCCAATGTAAGGTTGAAATATAATTCTGGTTTGAGACAAAGATAAACCATTTAAAGTCACCATTTTTCAACTATTAAAACAAGAAACAACTGTTGTAGAGTGTGTAAAATTGTCAAATAATCATTCCTATGATTTCAGTCTTTTAAAACATTTTCTGCTGATTTGCATTAGTGAAAACAAATAAAACATGTCTTTGATATTGTGAAAAAGTGTTTAGGAACATTTAAAATTATCTTTGTTAACATTTTTGCTTGCAAAGTAACATTTTTCCATTTTCTGTGTACACATAGCAATATCAATCGCCAAAACGCAGCAATATTCAAGCAGTATTTGCCTCCATTGCACATGTAGAATGATTCTATAGGGTATAAAGAGAGACTAGAATGCATGACATGATACTCAAGTACGAGAAATATGCCACGATTAACAGCTGAAGAGAGAAAGAAAGAGCAATTGAAATGGTGCAGATGGGGTCGATATACAATGCTGTTGCCAACGCTCTCGGATGCCATCGTATCACGGTTAAAATACTTATTTAGGGCTTCAGGCAGACTGGGGTCCCCGTAGACAGACCAAGAAGTGGACGTCCACGCATCACAACGCCAGCTGAAGATAGGTACCTCCGTCATTAAGGAAGGAGGGTAACGTTTCTTTTGGCGTTTAGTAGTGTGTGTGTGTGTGTGTGTGTGTGTGTGTGTGTGTGTGTGTGTGTGTGTGTGTGTGTGTGTGTGTGTGTGTGTGTGTGTGTGTGTGTGTGTGTGTGTGTGTGTGTGTGTGTGTGTGTGTGTGTGTGTGTGTGTTGTCTTCCTTTTGATATCAAAACCTCCCCATCTTTAGCTGTCTTCAAAGCCTAAGCTTAAGACCCATCTCTTCTCCATGTACTACTTTTGATACCTGCGCGCTTTGAGCAACCGCAGTTATATTCTTTCTCTTCAGCTGTTAATCGTGGCATATTTCTCGTAGCTGTGTATCATGTCATGCATTCGAGTCTCTCTTTATACCCTATAGAATCATTCAACGGATGGAAAATAGCGCATAATAAATGCACTTATTATTACTATCATTTGTCGGACAAAGTACGTTTTCGGATAGCAGTGTATGCTCTGCCTTTAAGGAGGCGAGTTGCGTCCGTGTGTATGTGAAAAGCTAATGCCAGAGAATAACCAGTCTTCAATTATCCGCCTCATCAAATTCAGTTCGGCGTAACTGGGACAAAAATGGTAAAAGTCGTATATAAGGATCCCTTTAACAGCAATGACGACACCAGAAGACGAGGGAAGCTCGACAGCCCTTACCGCAGCACCAGCAAATCCCACAACCTACCAAACACACAAATACTTTATCTGACGAGTGTTTGGCATACAAATACAAACATAATCCATGTAACGGTAATGGACGTTGATGCCGATCTGTTGTGTTGTCTCGAAGGTACTTCCTGGTGTACAGCCCTGAACATGTAAACCTTAAACACAAGAACTGTGTCAACACGTTAAGTAATGTAACTCGGATTGGCTCGACTGCTCTCGTCACTTTGATTATAGAATAATGGTGAAGAGTAGGCATATTTTGACTGACGACTGACTTGTGCACACTGCAGTTATATTAGCATGCTGTGCTCTAAAACACGTAAGCTTTGTACAGAACGGTTGTTGTGTACATTAAACAGATCATTTTTTTTTAGTCACATGTTCACGTACTACCCAGGCATCCATCCATCTCACCACATACATTTTCTGTTTTGGGGAGAGGTCAACTGTAAAGCTGACCATGGCAGTCCATCAATGTTAGGCTGCCTATAAAATCCTGCAAAATGATTGCTATCCCATTCGTAACTACTCGCCTCTTTCCGTGACCTACAAGAAGGCTTGCCGGAATGACACGAGTAGTTACGAATGACGTTGTCCCTGCATTTGCATTTGGAGTGGAGCATGATGTCGAGCAAGGGCTTCCTGGTAGCATACGCTTTCAACCCTGCCATTGACTCTTACAATCATAAATTGAGTTCTCCTATGAGTTGATGATTCCATACCTGTACATAACGACGACAAAGACACAGGTGTGTCTCCTAAACGTTCTTCTGGACGAATGTAGACCCTATATGGACATAACAGCTGTCCAGATGAAATCCATTTTCTTTGTTTGCTTGTTGGTTGGTAGACCGCCTCCATGGTGTAGTGAAAGTTAGGCGTCCGCCCGGAGAGCGGAAGGTCGCGGGTTCGATCCCTGGGTGGGATATTCATGCTTCACTGCCGCATGGTATCTCAGAGTGGGCTAGCACTATAAACCAGCTTCAGTCTGGGCTAGTACAAAAGCAGCCCGCATGTACATACACACAAACATGCACGTCGTCATATGGGCGAAATATTCTCCAGCACGACGTTAAACCCAATTTCACCTCACACTTTGTTGGTTGGTCTTCAGTAACTCCAGTAGCTTGTCGTAAGAAGCGACTAACGGGCTGGAGTGACTTGGTTGATTACAGATGTCATCGCATTCAATTTGCGCAGATTGATGCTCATGTTGTTGACTGAAATAGACTCGGTTGTTTACGGACCGCTGCTTATAAAGCTGGGATATTGCTGAGAGTGCCATACAACAAACACACATTTTGAAGCACGGCTCTAGAACATTCGGAAAGGGGATACGGGTAATTTATGTGTAACGAATACTGCAAAAGGATAAGTACTTATAACTTTTGGTTGGTACTAAATGACAAGGTTTAATCTCAAATAGCCCTCCATAGTTATTTAGTTATTAGCTTTATTTCATCAAGGTTGTTTCGTGGAAATCAAAATGACATCTTCTACAAAGTACATAAATTCAAATTTGCATAAAGCTGTGTTGTTCAGCTTTCTTGTAAACTAAAACCTCCTTACATATCTTGATAGTTTTAAGTAATTCGTAAATGTAGCTATAGGAGGGTAACGTTTCTTTTGGCGTTTAGTGTATGTGCTTGAAGTCAGCTTATATCCTGGTTACCTATGGCTAGGTCTACGGTGGATAGTTGTCAAATATGTTGCCAATGACCGTGCTGTAGTAATCTTGCCAAATCCGATGGCGTTCAACAACAACTGGCACTCAGAAAATGGTTCTGTAGAGAGTGAATGACTTAAGTTTTATGCCGCTTTTAGAAGCGGCGTAAAAACTAAAATCACTCACGCATCGCCACAAACATATGTAAGCGTACCGATGCAATGCATACATTCATATTCAAGGTTTTGAGTAGAAAGGCCAGAGTAGGAAAGTAGAAATGAATAATATCTCGTTCAACCAGTTAGCATCAGGATTTCATCCGTATCATTGTAGTATATAGGGTTAGTCATTATCTAAACTTTCCCCTATACACAACTGAATTCAAATGTACAAAATGTATGGGCTTCAGTGTTATTTTATATTTCACTGAATAAACACAATGTGTACAGATAACATACAATGGAAACGTACACTTCCTCGTCACGAGTTTCATACGGACAGGTTCCATGCACCTGATGCAAGGAAGACAAGCGTATTTGCCGATCACGACACACGGTGGAAATGCATTGGCTATATGCTGTTACAGGTGCTGGGATATACGCCTGGGTCAGTTTCTGTTTTGCAGAAGGTAAATACACACTATAATTAATAGATATGTTTTCATGAGTTTGATGGTAATGGCAGTCAAAACAGTAAGTGTTAATGAGGGGAGTATGTGCAGTTAGCCTAGACTAACGCTTGGGCTATGAATGTATAAGGGTTTGATAGAAACACATAAATCTAAATTCAAAATTGAAAGGAGGTACAGTGGTGAGTGTCTCATTTTTGACTGCGTCTTGGTCACTGATCCGCTAAGGTGTGAAGTTTCGCTGTCAGAACTGGGACTAACAGAATGACTACTGTCAAAACTTGGATAACTAGCTGTACAATGTGAATGCAATAGTGAGAGAGGTACAGAACAAGTAACATTCCTGAACACTAAATACCGCTTGGGGATGATAATAGTTATTATTTGGAGTGATTGTCGTTGTAAGATAATTACACTGAAGGCCAAGGGAGGCTGAGAATGCAATCAACAGAGAGAACAGGATGCGAGAAGCCAAACACCATCTGACATTTGAACCTGTTACACTCATCATGTATTTCGAAATAGCTGTATATAATGTCGTTAGAGAAGTCTTCACCACTACTATCTTGAAGGGCTGCCAAGCTCTTTTATAGGAATATTCAGAAATTAGGGCTCTCGTCTTTCTACCAGTCACGTGAAGATGTCCAAAGATGGCTTCGAATGTATATTGGTTTGGCATTCCTGCCCTTTGCAAAATTCTTTCAAGAATACACTGTCGTATATTGGGACAACTGGCCAGATCAATTACGGAAGTGTGAAATTTAACTGTCAAAATTGGGACTGTCAAAAATCGGGACTAAACCGTACAGTGAGATGGAAGATTCTTAAGGAAAGCTAGACATGCTTCATTTGGGTCTTTAGCATTACATAAAGAGCTGGGCTGGATGGAAAATAATGCGGTTCAGGGACTTTGAGACAGACTAGCAGTTAGCCGTGTGTACCTTTCATCTACTTCTTGTAAAAAAATCAAATTTGAAAGGGCTGGTATTTGACCACAACTACCAATCAAGAGTAACCAAAAACAAAAGTGAAAACCAAAAGAAGGAGTTATAACTTACAAGTGATGGGGAAAATGATCCAAATTGTCACCTGTTCGAATGGAGGTCTATGTTGAGAAGTTAACAGCCATAAACACTTAGGTATAACTTACAAGTGATGGGGAAAATGATCCAAATTGTCACATGTTGCGAATAGGTCTATGTTGAGATGTAAACAGCCATAAA